GTTTTAAAAATCCATTGATTGTTAAATGATTACAAATAAAAGAGGATATTAATATGCCTTTTTATCATTTGAATATTTTTTTGTTTCTATTTTGCTTTATTTACTTATTTATTTTTTCACCGTTAAACTTTCATTTGCATTTGTAGCGAGTGGAGGTCAATGTTTCATTGATATTATCAACATCACTATTCAGAAGTGTACCCATCGCAGCGGATATTTGTGCATATACGTACAGTTTTTTGATGATCTTTTTTTTCTGCCTTACTTGCATGTTCGTATTTTAACCGTTGTACCGATTCACATTACTTGTTTGCTTCATTTGTTTTTCATTTATCCTCTGACAGGGATTGTTTTGCGTGCTGTGGTTGCTCAGATTAATTTTTATTTGGGAGCGTCAGGATTTTATTTGGTGGTAAGTAAGCAGACAACATTTATTTTTGCCAGTCGTTTAAAACAGTTGAGGGTTTGTAATAATAAATTTGACTAATGCTGTATCATCAGTAAGTATCAGTACCAATTTTCGTCCAAAATTGTTATCTTAGTGGACAAGTTAACCGCCGGCTAAGTATGAACTATTATTGGTCCTATTCTTTTTTGATAACGCCACTAATGGAATTTTTTTTGCAAAATTGAATTTATCATTGGATTTTATTATTGCTTCTGATATGATGGCTTCATCTACGTAAACATTTTGCACTGATTAAGGCTTAGGTTGTTTTTACTACTTTTATGTTTTCCCTGGCTTTTTCTTTTGCGTACTTCTTACCACCCAGCATGGTTATTACTTTTGTATCTTATGTATGGGAGAAGAAGTAGACATTTATGCGTAATTTCCTAAAATTTTAATACTGGAAACTACATGATTGTGTAATCGTTGAAATTTTAAAATCAATTGTTTTAATGCCATTTTTAGTAGTGTATAGTGTTTTTTTCGTGTGTTGTAGCTCACACGTGTTACGAAATTATTTGTCCTTCTTCGCGACGTGGTTATGTATTTTTGTGTTTCCTTGTTGAAGTGATGGGTTCACCTCGTCCAGTCGATATGCATACGCCTGGACTGCAGAAAACCTCAAGTTCAGTTCCCGAGGTTGATCGGATTTCTGGGTTATTGTCCGCGGGTATCGTTCAACGGGATGATGATAAAATTCCACTTTTTCTTCTAAAGCTATGGAACATAATCGAAGATCCTAATTTTGGTGAAATCATTCAGTGGGATGATGTAAGTTAATATTTTCTTAGTGTGTATTATAATTTCTTCATATCACCGTTGAGGGTTTACAGTACAGGATGTTTTCTCTTTAAGTAAAACCTAATACTTTACGCTTATTATCGTCGTTTTCTTGAAATGTTAGTTTAAGTGTAGCAACTTGGCTAAAAAGAAATATCAGCAGCGTTTTTCTTCGTTAATTGGGTCGCTTATCAATTTATTTTAAACAGCTCTCTTGCTTTTTTCATTTTGTTGGTCTGTCAAAAAATAACTCCTATTTGCTTTTCAGACGGGATATAGTTTTCATATACTTGATCCGTATTCGTTTTGTAGAAATGTGTTGCCACAGTATTTCAAGCACAATAATTTAAATAGCCTTATACGACAGCTGAACATGTGTAAGCAGCTTTTTTCTTTTCTATTTCTTTGTTGGTTTTAACAAGGGCTTGGAAAATTCTTTAGCGTTTCTTCGATCTTAAGTTAACATCACCCACTTTAAGATGGATTTCGGAAAATGACTCCAATTGAGAGGTCTGGTTTGGTTCATGCAGAAAGCGATCAGGACCACCTGGAATTTTCTCATCCTTATTTTGTTCGTGACCATCCAGAACTTCTCGTCAACATCAAAAGGAAATCTTCTTCACACCGTGCGTCAGAAGTATCAGCACTTTCGCTACCGACAGAGGACCTTTCACTAATTTTTGACGAAATCAGGCAGTTACGGGAGAAGAATAGGCAGATGGAGAACAAAATGAATCAAATGGCTAAGTAATACCAAGATTTTTCTAATATTTTTTTTTGACTCAATTTCTGCTGATAGATGAATTTTACAGTTATTTTTACCAGTCTTGTTAGTTCATTTTTGTAAATATTCCTTCTCAGGTTGGCTCACCTTACCCGTATAAAGTTTAAGAAGTGACTTCCTAGTTTTCAAAAATTATTGAGGAATATATTTCCTTAACAGTTTAAAATGTTTTTGAGTAAATTTACAGTGAAAGCCGTGCTGTATGGCAAGAACTTTCTCGCGTTAGGCAGCAACAAATGAAACAGCAACAGATCGTAAACAAGTTGGTGCAGTTTTTGGTAGCGTTGGTGCAGCCAGCAGCTCAGAAGCGATTGGGGAAGCGAAATTTGTTAGCTATTGATGAGGTATTTTTTTTGTAAATGGTAGTTTCATAAAAATTTCATCACTCAACTGTTTCTTTTTCTCTTGCAGTTTAATTCAGTAGAGAATTTAAGATTGCTTTTGTACCATGACTTTTTGCAGATTGGCGGTAAAAGATCGCGAATTGGAACCTCACCCAATAATTTGGCTGAAGTACTTGACCATTTACAGAGAGAAATATCGGAAGGTAATGCCAACTTCTCGCTTTTCTCCTCTCGCGTCAATAATCATGGACCTATCATTGCTGATGTCACTGACGAACCAGAAGTTGCTCCTGTCGATACTTCTGTTGGTGTGTCTAGCAATCCAATATCCAGTAAGGGTACTAATGTTATGGTCAGTCAGCCTGTGAGGAAAACTTCAGAGGGTATGGTAAACCAGTCGACGAGACCACTGGAAGTTCATCCAGCTTCTGTCCTTGAGAAAGAACCTTTGTATACGAGTGCTTCTAATTCATTCAACCAACCTGTTCTGACATTATCTCCATCTATCGATCGACAACTTACAGCTGAATTTGCTGAATATTTTACGCAACAGGAACAAGGGATCGATAACTGTAGAGAGTTGTTAGGTGCGCAGTGGGATTTGGCCCTTGACGATCTTGAAGATGTCCCGGAACAAGGCGATCAGCAGTTGAAGTGTGTGCAAAATTCTCAGCTGATGTTGGAAGGAAGTGATCCTTTGCTAGCTTTGTCGGCTCCATCAACCCCAGATCTGCTGACGCCAAACGTTAGTCCGAAGAACAATATTTTAGAATAGTGGTTGTTTTTGTTCTTGTTTGCAGTTAAACTTCAAACTTTTTTGTTCTTTGGGTGAGAAGGTCCCCCGATCTCATTTTTTATCTTTTTTTTCTTTGGAATTACAAGAGTTTAATGATTATTTTACTCTTCAAGAAATTTTTTGGTTATGCAAATTCAATTGCAGTGGGGATTGATTGTAATTTATTTTTTTGATTCTGCAAGACGTTGACTCATTTTTTCCATTTTTTTGTTTTCCGAAGACTTGGTCATAATTTCTAGTCCAAGACATGTGAATAAATTATTTTCGTTTGAGTCGTTTAGCGCGGTTAGGCGTAGTTACTTTAAACTCAGCAGTTTTGCAAACTGTCATTTGGAGTTGCATTTCCTATTTGTTATTAATTTCTTTTTCTACAACTTTCTAGCGTGATTCAGTATTTTCTCAATTGTTTTCGAAGTGTTTTCTTCCTTGCTTTGTTTGAAAATAGTATATTATCCGTGTCAATTTTTATTTTCTCATTATATAACTCCAAATTTTTGAATATTCTGTAGTAGTTGAAGTACTTCGTATAAACGTTATTTCGATCAGTGAGTAGCTTTTCAAAGGCGAAAGCGCATTGTTTTTGTTCCCTGTTAAAGAAACTGAAAGTTTTTTCCAGATGGCCACTTATTAGATCAGCTTTGAATCGGGTTAATGAGCATTGTTCATTTTGAAATAAAGCACTGACATTAGATTCCACTTAAAAAGCTAGTTAGCTATTGGGGGAAAAAGTTGGTCTGTAGCGGACAGGTCTCTGTGGGCCTTCCATTTTTTCAAGGTTTCCTGGCTATTTGGATGTGGAAACTGGTTTAGAGGTTGTCCTGTCTCTGCTTTCCTTCCCCCCTCAGCTGCGCTTTTCTGCGACTTTGTTCCAGTTTTTCACCCGTGGTACTTTTTCCGTTGTTCTTGCTCTCATTCCTATCAAAGAAAGCATCTGTTGGATGAGGCTATCAAAGATGCGAGGGCCAGGTGTGCTGGAGCATAAAGTTTGGCCTCGGTTGGCCAGAATGCATTGAGTTAAGAGTGTATTTTTTATCGTTGCCATCCTGGCGAAACCTGTGTTTTGATGTGTTTGTTGGATTATGCATACCGCAATCGACTTGTTAAGGAAAATTGTTTAAGATTATTTATTGTATTCTTTTGGAGATTTTATAGTTTCTGAGAGAGCACATGGCATGCTTGTAGTGGAGCTTCCCTCCTTAAAAAAAAATGAACTTGTTTGCGAGAAGTTTAAAAACCTTAAGGGTTCTGTAAAAATCTCGTAAGAAATTCTGAAAGTTGCAGGAAACTACTAGAGAAAATCCGCTGTGAAAGGCTTGGTTTGGGTTATTTTTTGAAATTGCTGGGAGAATTCACGGATCTCAAATTCATTTTTTCCGCCTAATATAACTTTCTGTTATTTTTTCTCTACTGCGTCCGGGCGTTGCTTGTTTATTTCCTCCTGTTTTTAGAAGAGAGAGGTGAGGGGTTTGAAAGAGGATAACCTGTTGACTACACTTGGTTGAGAGGAATATGTAAAATATGAAATATTGTGAAAAAATGAACTCTTTAATTACGTAGACTTATACGGCTGCAGTTCATACAATTATAAACATGATGGAAGTGTGAACTTGTAATCGGTAGTTAAAAGCGTCAAGAAATTGAAATAATTCAAATCTTTTTAAATAATAAAAGTTTTATCAAGCTGTTTTTCTAAAACAGTAGATAGGAGACAGGATCGTTTTTATTTTCTTATTTTCTTCTCTGTTATTTTTGTTTTTCTTTTCAAGATTTGGAACTGTAATCTGAAGCAGGTTGGGATAGATGTGTTTTCCAATTTTTTTCAACTAAACGCAAGTTGGATTCTGGTAGTATTTGAGGTCCAGTAGGCAGCTGTCTATTGAATGTGCCAATCCAAATATTTGCTGTAATCAGCATGATACAAGTTCTCGACCGAGTCCCGAATGAAATTCATTTGCAGTGGATAGTAATGCATTTAAATGCCAAAGAATTCCATCATATCAGTTTACTGTTGTCTTCGCCCGGGTTAGATCAAAAATAACTGGAAGTCGAGTTACTGCGCTTCTAAACGCCCAAAACGTTTGTCTAAAAAAATGAAAGAATACGTAGTATTATTAGTCTGTGCACTTTCAGGGGCTAAAAACAGTGAAAGACTTTAAATAATTTTGTCATAGAAGGCATATCTTCAAAATAACCAATTGGAGGACCAAAGAAAGAGTTGTAGACAGGGACAGGGTTGAGTGAAAAGCTGTAAATGATTTGTTCCTGAGGACAAATATCTGTTGATTGACCGATCAAAAGACAAACTGCAGAAGATGAAGGATAGCAAACACGTATTTTCTCATTGAGATCTTTATGTATAGCAGTATTCTTTAGTGTTTATTTGCCGCAATTGGTTTATTGAGATAATTCAAATATACTACAAAAATGACTGGTTTTTTTTTGCATTGGACGCTGTAACATGAACACTTTATGGTGCAGATTAGCACAAATTAAAAAACGTGGTCTGGACATTAGGCTAAAGTGTAGTTAATTTCGTTTACTTGGTATGACCTTATTTAGTCGTAATTTGAACGTCACCTTTATCAATCGGATGAATGGTAATTTTTTGGTGACATTAAGCAACGTAATAATTTCTACACAGCACTCTTTTTCTGTATCGGTGTGCGAAACCGTCCAATCTTAGAAAACGGATGTGCGAAGGTAATAAAGACTTTTTATTAGAAAATCATAATGGCTCTGGTTTGCTTGTATTTTTTGAGCTTTTGTCAGCAGAAACGGAAGTGGCAAACGTTATGATAGTAGTGAACACTGAACGCTACAAATAACAAATTCTCTGTGCTTCAAGGTATCAAATTCAACTGCTGGTAGTCAATTAGACTTTAGAGGGTTGGAAATTAATGATAGATTGTCTAGACTGAAAATTACTATCCGTTTTATCTTTTATGTTGAATAAAGAAGGAAATTTGTCAATTTAAAGTGCTACTACTGTTAATATTTTACAAAAATTGTCGTCTTGGAAGTTTTTACAGGATAGTTTTTTAGAGGGACGACAAAAAATTGTTGTATTACTGAGCCTTCAGCAATGCGAAACGTTGTTTGGGAAAGAGGTTACACTGTAGGACAAGACGAGAATGAAATATGATGCGTAAACATTGAAAACGACTGCGTTTCTTTCATGCTAAAGGATTCTGAAAAATCTATAAAAAAAATCTATCTGCTCTCAATCTGACAAAATTTTAACTAGGTGCCAAGAATCTATAGCAGCATTATTCGTTCCATTAAGAGTTCTAAGAGTTTACGTCACTTCACAATACGTTATTAATGGAGTATTGTATTTCTGAAAAAGCCTTAAACTGATTCAGGGCTCATGTTAGGCTTGGTTGAAACCCTCGGTTATGCAGAAACGACCTTTTCTGGAAATTATTTTGCTCATACTCTCGTTATTGGTAAATAAATTAAACCACAAAACTACTCTGTTCAGACATCGTCAAAAGTAGAAATTTGTTTGTGAAAGAGTAATCTATTTACCGAGCGGTTTATGTAACGGTGGATGAGTACAGTAGAAAACGCTACCGATACACTGTGGCCTAATCAATCCAGATCAAATTTTATATCTTTGATTATGGTGTTTTTTTTCCATGTTTCAATGAGAATTTTTGGATACTTTGCCATCAGTAACAAAACCATAGCAATTCTGTGAGATGTACAAGGTGTTGAGCATTATTTTTTGAGAAGCCAAATCTCTTAAACTTACTCTTAAATCTGTTTGTTTTTCGATACATTCTTGTGCTTTATGTTCAAAGTGCGTATTTTAGATTTCTAACTTTCTTTAATCATTAATTTGAGGAAGTTAAGGACGGACACCTTCTTTTTCTGGTTTTAATGTGAATTAAAACATAAGCAATTGACAATTCAGACAGCGACTCGTTGTAGTAGAAAGGCTTTTTATTAACTAGCCTCATCAGAAACTTATTTTAATAACGTTCTGCCTATTCTAAAAGCACTGCTAGCAGCTTTACAAGAATTTTAATTGCTCCAGATAATTGTGTTCGGTCTACAGCTGTTATTGCCGAAAAGAAAACGGTACTGCTGACATCATCCTTATTGAGAATTTTAATCTGCGATCGCAACCAGTACTTTACCATACTAACTGCGCTTGAAACCCCTCAATTTGTTA